CAGGCCGAGCGCGAAGGGCGCTTCGGGCAGGTAGGTAAAAAAAAAACTTTTAACGGTGGGCCCTTAGGAAGGAACGGTCCCAGTAGGGAACCCGCTCTATACCATGTGAGAAAATTGAGGAATGAATGTTAGAAATGAGAAAGAAGTGGTTTCACTAGCAGGCAGTTGAGTACATATAGGAAACCCTAAAATGGGCTGTACTCGCTATTGAGTACCCCACTGCAGGCTAGACAAACATAACATTCTGACAGAGTGTTCCTTTCTCGATCTCGTCCTTCACGAAGAAATACCGAAGTGTCAGAATCCCAACCACTATACCATTGGGATAAAAGGGCTTGTTAAGTAGCGGGTCAGTGCGCCCATAACCCCCCAGGACAACGAGCCTGTAACCCTTCCCTAGGATCAATCGGGGATCACCAGTGGACCTCTGATACGAAGGGCGATGTGCTTCGTTCGATTCGCGGACCCGCTCTTGTTCGCTATGCGAATTGCGGATTGATTGTCGCAGAAGAGGGAGAAGCTGGGTAACTGTGCCATCTTTGTTTCTTCCAACAGTTTGCGAAGGTATAATCCTTCCTTGGTGGCTGAGCAGAGTGCGATGTATTCTGCTTCAGCTGAGGAGAGAGCGATTAGTTCTTGCTTGTTCGACTGCCATGAAATGGGGCCGATAGGTTAAAGTCGGTAGATGTAGCCAGTGCGAGATCGCCTGTTGTCAGAATCTCCGGCGTGATCGGCGTCAACGTAGCCGATTAATTTAGGTGTCCTGGTTCCAGTTTTGTGGTAGGTTAGGCTGACTGTCGGGGTGCTGACGAGGTAGTGTAGAGCGCGGTCGAGTTCCGCCATGTGCGCGGCTGTGGGCTTCTTGAGGTAGGTGGCGAGCTGGCTCGCTGAGTATGATAGATCTGGTCGGCAGGTGACGGCTGCGAAGAGGAGGCAGCCTAGCTTTCGTTGGTAGTCGGGTATGTCGGCGAATTTGAGTGGCGCGGAGATTTCCTTGTGGCTTCCGTCGGTGTAGCGATATGGTGTGGTAATGGCGCTTGGGGTTAATCCGAAGCGTTTGGCAATGGTGTCGGCGTATTTCGCGGCGCTGAGGTAGATCGCGTTTTCCCCGTCTTGTATGTTGAGTCCTATGTACTGTGTTACGGTAGACGAGACGGTGAGCGTGAGGTCCCGTTGTAGCTCCCCTTCGAACCAGGTCGTGAAATCGTCGGTAGAGCCGATGTAAAGCATATCGTCCATATAGACTATGAGTAAGATGTAGTCGGCACCCTTCGTGAGACGATACATCCCTTGGTCGTGCGGGAGTTGGCGAAATCCGATGCGAATCAATCGAGCGTGCAGATATTGTTGCCACAGCCTCGAAGCCTGTTTGATCCCGTACAGGGATTTTTGTAGTTGACAGACTTGGTTAGGGTCTACATTAGACCCATGTGGTTGTTCGACGAAGATTTCAGCGTCGACAGGGGCATAGAGGAAGGCGTTGGCAACGTCGATTTGGTGGAGTTTCTTCTGCTTCATGGCGGCTATCGCGAGGAGGATTCGGAGAGAGGTATGTTTGCTAACTGGTGCGAATGTTTCGGTGAAGTCTCGTCCGTGCTCTTGGTCGAAGCCGCGCACGACCCAGCGTGCCTTGAATTCGTCTATCGTTCTGTCAGCTTTCGTTTTCACGCGGAAAACCCATTTTCCCATAATAATGGTCTTGTTGCGTGCCACTCCGATAGGCACGACTTTCCAGGTGTTGCGTTCTTGCAGCGCCTTTAATTCTCTGTCCATGGCTTCGCGCCATTTTTCCCTGTGTCCCCCCCCCCAAAAGCCTGTTGAACAGTGGCAGGCTCCTTAGGTGGTGCCACTCCGTGGACAGCGGTGACGAGTCCCAGTATCTGCAGTCCACTCTGTGTAGCGGGGGAGAGTTGCGTCCTCAGGATAGGCTGATTCATCTCCCGCTTCTGGATCAGGTAGGAAGTTGGGGCCGATTCATTTTGATACATTTGTGTTGACTGATTGGGGTGTAACGTAACCATTGTCGGCGAAGTCGTAGTAGACTTCGGCGTTGACACTTTCGCGAGGGTTTTTGTCATCCATCGAGATGGGCACGGAGCAGTATGGGAGTGGTCCTGCTTCCTTGGATGCGCCGTCCACGTTTTGCTCGTCCCAGTCAGCTTCGTCAGCTAGTGTGGCGAAGGCTCGGTTGCCACGGAAGCCGCCCGTGAGGTCTCGATCTGCTGCCAGGTTGTCCAGGTACGTTTGAAGGGAGAGTCTTTCGTAGAAAATGACATCACGTGCTGCTACTGTTTCCTTCGAGTGGACGTCGAAAATCTTCCATGCGTTGTAATGTTTTTTTATGCCCAGGTGTAGCCCCCACTGTGCGCGTTGTGAAAATCTTCCGGCCCTTGCGGTGTGCGGTCGGTACTGTACCATGCACCCAAAAACTCGTAACATTTTTGTGTTGCCCAGTTTTCCTGTCCACAGCAGGTGCGGTGATGCGTTGTTCGAGAGCGAG